CAGCCTGGGATATGTTTGGTTTTTAAAGGTCAGCTACACAATAGATAAATGGTCTCTTTGTTCAGCTTTCAGAGATGCTCTCTCATTTAATATATACACTACACAACATGTAATCATTTTAATGTAAATTTGAGGCAGTAATCTAGTTGAGGCATAAAAACAGAAATCCCTGGAAAGAATCAGCAAGACCAGACAGCATCGAGGAATCGGGGAACAATAAATGCTATCCTCCTCTCTCCACAAACTTACTTGCTTAGTTGTTCAGTATTTCTAATTTTCAAATGATCTTTGCCTTAAAAAGAAATAGGTCAGGTGTCTGACCAAATTCACTGTCCTCTTAACTGCAATTTCATGGCTGTAACTGGTTGCAGAGAACTACTGTCCTGTAACCGAGGGTACACTTGTTGTGGGAAAGTAATTTGTCAAATTGACTACTCGTCAAGTTTAAATTGACATTAGACATCTTTCTGAAGTGCTGCAGTCCACACAGTGAAGTTGCTCCATGTTACTGTTGGACATGAAGGAGCTATTCAAACTTAGGGCTATATAGCAGAGTCATATTGGATTCAAAATGTGAGTAAGTTTCTCTCTCCAAAGATACTGCCAGGCCCACTGAGTTTCTCCAGCACTTTCTGTTTTTATTTCAGATCTCCAGCATTTGCATTATTTTGCCATCCCAAGTTGGGTTGGAATGTGCATTGGAAGGGAATTTCAAGGAGAAGTTGTTCCTGTCCATGTCCAGAAACTGGGAGAAGAAGAACAAAGAGACAGTAAGAATTGCCGATGCTGGAGTCAGAGATAACACAGTGTGAAGTTGGAAGAACACAGCAGGCCAGGCAGCATCAGAGGAGCAAGAAAGTTGACATTTCGGGTCGGGACCCTTCTTCAGAAGGGTCCATTTTCTGAAGAAGGCTCCCGACCCAAAACATCAACTTTCCTGCTCCTCTAATGCTGCCTGGCCTGTTGTGTCTTCCAGCTCAACACTGTGTTATCTATAGAAGAAAAACAATAGCTTGGACTGTCAATATCCTGTCCACACTAACCGTCTAATAGCCACACTCCAATAGCCATTGAAAACAGAGAATACTCATCACTCCAAGGTCTGGCAGCATGTGAGGAAGGAGAAACAGAGTTAACATTTCAGCTCCTAACCTTTTATCTGGAGAGTCTATCATTCTGGTCAAGTCTGCCAAACATTTGAGAAACCTAGATGTTACATCTTCAAAAGAGGTAGGGCGAAAAGGGTCAACTGTATAAAAATAATTTGAAATGTTTTGCAGAGTTCTGCTGAAGTTTGTGAATAAAAGAAATCTGTTTTTTTTCTGTAGTAAACTGAGTGTCTTTTCATTCTGCTTATCTACTTCTTCACAACAGGTTTAACAGAAACCTGAAATGGATTTCCTTAGAGATAGTAGGAACTGCAGATGCTGGAGAATCTGAGATAACAAGGT